GAGGATGACAAACAAGGCGTGCACGATACACAGCCATCCAGTGAACTTCTGAGACATGTCTTGTGTTTTGTGCGGCCATCCAAAAGGGACCTGGTTTGCATGTGTATTTGTGAGGCAGTTAGCAAGCCCACCTTGAACACGATGCGCATCGTCGGTCCGTTCACAAGACACATTGACTGGCTGGGTTGCGGGGATCAGGGAAATCTGTTGCCAGAAGCTTCCAGGTGGTCGACCGAAGAGTGGAGTTCGAGGCAGGGAAAACCCAAAAATCATGCCATCCACAAAGTGCCACACCGAGTATGTGACCATGAGCGTGCTGAAAAAATATGTGTTTGGTTTATCTCTGTTCTTGAAGGGTTCCAGGGGCACTTTTGTTTGCCACTATTGAAATTATCATGTTGAGAGCTTTGTGTACTTTCATTCACCTTGATCCTTGTATGGACACAGGATGGGCGCTATTTGATTGAATGCTGCGGGCGACTTGAGAGACAGTACAATACGGTTTTTAAACATGTGTTTCTCAGTGAGATTCCTCTTTGCTGTCCTTCCGACAGTGTGGCTTACGCGTATTTATGTTTCATGCCCTGTTTCGGACAAGAGAGTCCCACTTTCAAAGCATTCGCGTTCCATTGTAAGACTAACGATGGTTCCCCTGTGTTTGTTTGCGCGCTATGCTTAACAAAAACAAGCAACATCAAATAACAATCACGTCTTTGCCATTTGTCAAAAAAAGGGCGCCTGAGCGTATGGGGGAGTACCACAATGATTCCAAACAGCAGTTTGAATGGGTTCCATGTGTTGGCCTGCTTCAGCCATGAACCAACGGGCTTGAGTCCTTTTGGGTCCAAAAAACGGTGTGCTTTCTTGAGGGTGCCTTGTTTGTCGTGCCTTTGCATTGTGTTAAAGGGCAACCCAAAGAAAAACATGTTGTTTGTTTCTTGGGGGATCATATACAGCAATATTCCTGTTTTTGGCTGCATACCTGTCAACCTAGGGGTACATCAAAACTGCTGAACTCTGATTGTGTTCCTCAAACATCAACCTATGTGGTACCCAGACGCACGCGCATCGGTAGGTTCGCACCATGCCGGACGGCAAGATCCGGGCAGAGCGCATCGCGTTTCTGCCGGACCGGGCGCCGGAGCGGGAGCGAGAGCGGCCCGACCGGCAGGCGGCCTCCTCAGGCGCCGGGGGGCCGATCAACTCGGCTCGCTTGGAGGTTCAACCAACGGAAGTAGGCTACAACCGTGGTAACTGGAGAAGCTGGGGTGACCGTCCCCTTAGAACCATGTTTGTAACCTATATTGGTTGAACTCCCAAGCAGGTTTGGCCCAGGAGCTCTTGAGTTAAACAATGTCTGCTTCAGCCGGTGATCTGCATCGTTGTATTTTGATTACCCCGAGGTAGACTTGAACCCCTGGGATTGTTTTCTGTTGTGAACCACCCATTGGTTTAAGTCTACTTTGGTGCAACAAAACGGAGCCCTGGTGGTTTGAGGCCAGTCAACTCATGCCAAGTTCGGCCAAGGACCCGAGCTAAACACGTCGATGGACTGCCTACTGCCTATTGCGGGCAGTGGGGTTTGATTTGCGTGAGATGTGACGGTTCGCAATCAAGCAAAACGAAACAACAACCTTGATTTGCACCCCTGGCAATCATTCCTGCATTAGCTTGCGCTTCTTGGCGTCTCATTTTTGGAGCAGTCCCTCTTATCCGCAGAACTGGCGCTGATAAAGTCAAACAGTTGATCCTGACGGCTCGTGCTGTTTTCCTGCATTCCCCCATGAACAGCGGGCAACGCAGGTCAGGGCTACAGAAACGGCCGCATTCGGAACTTCTACCTGGCCAAGGCATGGGGATGGGCTGGTGCTGCGGAACCTATCGCTGACCTCTTGCTCATAGATGTACCAATATATAAGAGCAATGGTCTAGCTGCTTCGGATTTGTTGAGACGTTCTGTGCTTGTTGTGTGGTTTGTTGTTGCTGCTGTGCGCCTATTTTTGCCAAGCATATTCTATCATGGATTCAGCCGATTGGGTGGTCGGAACACTCGCAAGGGAATGGTTGACTGTTGCTGCGTATTCCTGCCTTCGTGCGATCACAGAGCAGGATAGGTTTGGACTCCACATCCATCAAGGGGGACCCTTGTTGATACAATTCTCTTGACGGGCAGATGAAGAATCATGTGGCTGTGGGTCAAAACCCATGGTACCCTTTGGGGTAGGTGCACCACCCATTTTAGTCTATTTTAGTGGGGATTGGGATGTTCACTGGGGGTGCTGGATTTTGACCCATGGCCATGCATAACCACGATGGAATCTCATCGTTTTCAGTGAGGGGTAAGGACGGTGTCGCTGTCGCAACTATCAACACGCAAGCTACATGTACCATAAAAGTAATTCAGCAGAGCCGGGGGCCGGAGGTGTTGCCCATACAGAATTATAGTTTGGCACATGCTGTGAACTGCCAGTTTGGCACATGCTGTGAACTGCCAGTTTGGCACATGCTGTGAACTGCCAGTTTGGCACATGCTGTGAACTGCCAGTTTGGCACATGCTGTGAACTGCCACCTGCGAGCCCCAGAGCCGTTTGCAGTAAGCGACGGCGCACGGCTGCATGCTCTGACCAAGCTGGTTTCCTGGTTCAATACTTTGCTAGTTGGCTGGTTAGCTTAGTTAGCAAGTTAGCTAGTTGCGCATGCGTGCCAGCTAGATAGTTGCCTGGACGCTACCAGTTGGCAAGCTAGTTAGCCAGCTGCTAGCTATATTAGTTTGCGAACTCGCTAGTTTGCTAGTCAAGTAGGTATCTCAGATAACTACTTAAAGTAGCTAGCTATTTCGCCAATCAGGCAGTCATCTAAACAGCAAGTTAGTTGGCTAGTCAGCTTTTTGCGATTTGGCCAGTTCCCAGCATAAGCTAGGGTTTGCTATCTAGCTGGTTCGATCTTTAGCTATGCAAATGGCTAGTGAGCTGATTAGACAGTTAGCCAATTCGAGAGCTAGTTAGCTTGTCAGCTTAGCTAGTTAGCTTGTGAGCTAGAACGTTGGTGAGATCTTGGCTCAGTTCGCTAGTTAGTTCAGCTAGCTAGTTCTCTATTTAGGTAGTTGGCTCAGACTAGGTTGCGTTAGCCTAGTCAGTTAGTTTGCGAGTTAGCGAGCTTAAACAGCTGGTGAGGTAATTGGCCAGTTCAAGCTTGTCAGCTGGTCTAGCCACTGAGCAAGTTAGCCAACAAGCTGAGTAATCGGTGAGCTAGCTTCTTAGCCATTAGGTTTTGGTTCATGGTCCTTGCGAAAGTCCGCAGATGCAAGGATTCACAGCTCGCAAGATGTAAAAAGTGAACGACGAGCTTTTGAAGGTCCCCCGAAAGTTCCCAGTACTCACAAGCTACTCCGGCCACTCCGGCCGCTCAGTTCTTGTCTTCCGGCGTCTGCTGGACAGCCGATTTCACCGGGGCGACGCTTTTGACATAAGCTCTGGGCATTTCCGAGTTCTTCCATTTTCTACGGAAGCCCCTTCTAAACGTTCCTGGCCATCCCAAATACTGACTTCGGCCTGACTCGCTCTGCTTTCACACATACATCTTGACAGGGTCTTTATTCTTCAGCTCAGAGGGGGCTGACATGTATATAGTAGGATGGGTGATTGCTTTGAAGATGGGAAGTCTTTTTGGTTTATCAGCCTTGTCACTTTGGTTGGAACCTGGCTTGCATCGTTCGCGCGACATGGCGCGCCAGCCCGTGCTCGTCAGAGAACTCCTTGCTGTCAGCAGTGTGAGACTTCGTTGCGGGAACCCGTTGACTGGATTTGGGCTCGCTAACTTGAATTTCAATTGGGAGACTCCTGCCATGTTGAATTTTGGGCTCCACGTCAATGTCATGTTCCATATTTTGGGTGAATGACTCGAAAACCATCCACACTCGTTCCAACGCCGAAACAACAACAAGATCCCGGCCGTTTACCAGGTCCCCCGCTGTTTCCTGTGAGGTAACCCCAAATATCACATGTTGGGTTCGATTGGGATCCCCTTTCGTTGGCGATGCTCGGTCCGTAGGGCTACGGCTTCATCGAAGTGCCCGGGCATCCCGACGTCTTCTTTTTGCCCAGCTCCTTGCCCAAGGACGCGGCTTCAAACGCGAGCGCGCTGCAGAAAGCTGGTGGGGGGGGCTTCTCAAAACGGACTCCGTAAGGTTCAACCCCCATCAAAAGAATGGTTGACCCATTTTTGGATGATGACACTCCTTAAGGTGAATAATGGTGATAAGAACCCCATTGTTTTCATAGTGGTTACCCTGGTTTGAAAGCCAGTTTTGGGTTGTTTGAAAGCGAAACTCAAGGGAAAAGCCCATTTTGGAGGTCCCCTTTTTTGACCAACCCACCACGTGGAAGCAAAAAAAAGTCGCGGCGCCAGAGACCGCGGAGTTCCGCGACAGATTGAAATATGCCGAATCGAGTCCAAAAGTGGATCCCACAAGCTGAGCTCCTAGTCAACCAGGACTTTAGTATTGCGGGAACCCATTCAAAAGCGAGGGGAAGTTGTTCGAAATCGAAGCCACTGCGGGTGTCCCCTGAACTCACCCAGGGCTTGGACAAAGTCGCGCGAAGGGCGGACTTTTGCAAAGGGTGTTGGTTTCAATGTGACAATGTAGGCACGTTGCAAAGTGGCCGTTCACCTTCTGCTGGCCTGATGGGCCATGAATGGACGTGAATTTGTCTTTGACCAAGCCACATCTTTCTGCCACCCCCGTGACCGCATGCTGTGGAATGCCAGCTTGAGCTTTTAAACGTTGCCGGAAGCGCTCGGATATAGGTCAAGCAGGCACAATAAAGCAACGCTTGCCCTGCCTTCTCCGCCCGCTTTCTTTGGGTGGCGAGCTTTATGTGCGATTTGGAACCCATTGGCTTTGTTTTGACATCGACCCATTGCAAAATTCCCAAACAAACCAACTGGGCAAATCATAGCGTGCTTGTCCGGGGTAAAATGAGTCTACCCACGAAGGTCACTCGTTTCCTTCATAGAAACTATGATTTGCGTTTGTGTGGAAAGGTTTGTAACTTTCCAGGGCTCACATGTGTGTGTGTGTGTGTGTTGTTTGAGGGTTTAAGTTTAAGGGGACACCAACTAGATGCCGAAATCCGTGTTTGGTGTGCCCTAATTTTGAGACATACCCCCCAAAACATACTTTGGCCTCAGATCATTTTCTGACGCTTACATGACTCATATGTCATGCACAGATTCACCCGGGCACGTTTCAAAATACGAATTGTTGACCTCAAGAGAACAGTTTTTGTTTTTGTTTAATGGCTTCCCTTGGAAAAAAAACACCACCATAACTTTTGTCATTTTGTGGTTCCCTTGGTTTCACCACCACTGTCTTTTCCTTTGGTTTTCCCGTAACAGACCGCAAGACCCTTGGGCACCGCCGGCCGGCTCGGGGTCCTCGTCAGGACTTGGTGGAGTCCAACCGTCCGCTGGAGGGCCTGGAGATCACCTTCGAGGCCTACACCAACGAGGCGCCAGCCGAGCTTTCGGGTTTCGAGTCGACGGGGACCGGGGGGGGGGGGGGGGGGGGGGGGGGGGCCGAGTCCCTTTGTTTTTTGGTTGGATTGTGTGTGTGTGTTTTGTTTGTTGGCGGGGAATGTTGACCCCATATGAATTTCAACCCCCGTTGATAAATAGGGGGGGTTTTTGGCCCCGTTGTTTGATTGTTCCTCACTAATCCCAGGGACACCCCCTTATTAGTACAGTAAGGTTGATCAATATGGGGTCAACATTATCCTTTTGGGAGATGGCTTTGTAAGGGAAGCCAAAAGGAATGTTAGCCGACGAGGGGGGTACTTCCATTTTGACACACAGCCATGTTGATGGAAGGATTGATAGATAAAGGACCTCGCGTAAATTGAAAATGCCTATCCACCAAGGCGAGAGTCAATTCAATGTACAACGAGCTCGGCGAACGGGGATAAAGCAAGCATACCCATGATGGAGGTCCTTTTGACATGGGATTCCTTAATTTGGCCTTGTGCCCTTTTCGTTTCCATGTGGCCCATCACGCTTGCTTGTCGCTCGATGGTTGACAAGCTTGTTTCGTTGAATCGTCCAAAGCACCATAGAACTTGCCATTGCCATCCATTGCCTACAGGCTGGTCCTTGTGATCAGGCAAGCACACTGGGCGAAACTTGCCATTGAGCACCAGCTCGGTCCTTGGGGAAGCTTCCCAAGCTTCAGGTGCGGCAGTCGTTTGTTCGAGTCAGGAGGGCAAGCCGCGGGCCCGCCACATCCAGCCGCCAGAGCGCCCAGTCGATCGGAGTGCGCCTCCCTTGGATCACACCACTGTTGGCGGTTAAGGCCTCTGCATGGCTTGTACACGGAATCTCCACCCTAAAAAATGGGTTCATGGCCCCTGTATTTTGGGAAATGACCCAATTTTTGTAGGGGTCAGGGAGGCTCCAAATATGGGTAGCTCCCACAAAAGGAATTTTAAGCTGGGGACATTAAGTGCTTAGGGTGGTCATCGAAGTAAGGATCCTGGGGCTGAAAATCAAGAGCCATACAGCCGGCCTTGCTCTCTCAATGACTCAAGAGGGCTGTTTTTTTTATTGAGCCAAGAAATCGATCCGTCAGACCGTTTTGGCAAACAGTGTTCCCCGGAAAGGGAAGGAGGTTTTCTGAGAGAGCACAGACTTGTTGAAGTCGTTGCCGCTTCATGTTGGCGTTTCTGTACGTTTGTATTTGGGAAAGTCGCTGCGGCTGGTGTTGCGATTGGGATTTGGAATTGGGTATTCCTATGGCATTCAAACTAAGTGCGGGTAGTTTCATGTGGAAGTTGTGTGCCCTTGCGATTTGCATTTTGTGGTGTTCGAATGGGCCTTGTCTCATCCGGCACATGCGGGTCTCGTGCGTATTTGTCAAAGGCCTCGTCCGGAGTCTCGTCCGAAAGCCCCCTTTTGCTGGGACTTGGTGATTGCACTTTGGCCAGCTTGCAGCCTATTTGTTCCACGCCAGATGTTGGCATCCGGTTTCTCGAGCAGGTGCTGGGCGCAAGCTTTTCCAAGCAAAAGGTGGTCAGACAACAAGAAATGAAGCTGCGTTTCATGCGTTTTTTGCGCACTTCGGGCAGTCTGGTGCAACATCCCTCCCCGCCCTAATTTTACCCTGAACCCAGTACAGATGCCGGCGAACACCTTTCAGCTTCAGGTTGCCAATTCGCGCCCCACCCCCACCGCCCCAGCCTCAGCCGACCAGGGATCCTCGTATGTTGTTTCTTAGGTGATTTAGGCATTGCCTGGCCATGGGACATTTTTTGTGGGCTAATGCATAGTTTAGTGATCTCACCCAAGCCCTAGGTGCGGGTTTACCATCCCCTTCGTTTCGAGCATGTGTCACGGCCATAAACCACACGGGACTCGGGACACCAAGCAAAGCTGACAGAGGCGTCCGAGGCATAGGACACGCCTTCCCGGTGACCTAAAGCACACCTGCAAATGTATGAAACGGATCTAACTAGTCGGAGAAAATTGAAAACACTAGATGATTTTGAGAATCCAACTCAACGCATAATTTGTTGGCTGGCCCTTGCATTGTTCGGACATTTCTTTGGAAGGTGCGGACCTGTGGCGTCGGCAGCTAACCTTCATGGACGCGGGAACATCCCTGGAAACGTACAGTGGTTTGGGTACCTTCCTCTGCCTCCATGGCAACGGGGGCAGAGTATGTCGGTTTGTATCCCACGAAAAGGGGCTCAATGGGGTGCCTTTTTGGTGATACGCCAGTCCAAGCATCACACTGCCAGCTTCACAGGATCCCAATCCTTGTAAAGCTGGTGTTGGATGTAAGGAACTCTGTTCAATTCAGTGCTGGCTGAAGCGCGACGAAGCTTGTATCTCAACACGCAGAGCATCCAAGGCATGCCTTGGTTGATTGATTCGCTGGCCTGTCAGTACCGGAGCAATCGACTGGTTGATTGGTTGGGGGTGTCTATTTCAATCAAGGCCCTTCACTTGGGTCACCCTCCTGTGTCATTTGTGTTTTTTTTTAGCTGGTTTCATATTAGAACCCCCAAATTGGCGAGCAGGGAGTTTTTTTTTTTTTTTTTTTTTTTAAGCTGGTGTCATATTAGAACCCCCAAATTGGCGAGCAGGGAGTCAAGCCTCTCCTGGAGTTTGTTGCTCCCTGTATCTCGTGTACCATTGGTGGCTGCATGATTGGTACATTTGAAGATTGAGTTCACGTTTGCAGATGCCAGGTACCACCAAGGCATTTCTAGGTTGCTTGAATGGAAATGCGTCAAAGCTACGACCCCTTTGGGTTAGTTGCCCTCATGTTGATGCCAGTACCTCACTCACTCTCTCAGGGATTCCATGCATAACGGGTCCAGATGTTGGTCTCCCAACCCGAGTGCGTCTTAAATAAGCCCCACGCTGGCGGTTTTCCCAATCTTTACGTGCAGCTCAGTAGTCCAGACCTTCGTCTTCCGTGTCTCGTTTCCTTATTTATCAAACGGTGTTCGCTTTAGACGAGCAACCAAGCACAAGAGAGCGCTTTTTTCTTTTTTTTGCCCGGGAATGACAGGCGGAAGGTGTGTCCACTAGGGGTTTGATCAACGGTGCGTGATAGTGGGCCAACCCCATGCCGAGAGGCCACACCAATCCACCCGGGGGCAACCCTGGACAAACCAACCCTGAACAAACTGTAAGCCTACCCCAAAGAACCCCTAAACCAACCCAAAGCCTACCCCAAACCTACCCCAAACCTACCCTAAACAACCCAAGACCGATCCTAAAGAATACTTAACAGCTCTAAACCGACCCGACTGCTTCACTTGAATCCACCTCAAGCCAACAAAACACTCGCCCTAATCCCACCCTGACCCGATTTGCTCCATCAACATTGCATGCACTTTGCATATGAACTCAGCATCAGAATTGTGGGCTTCCTCTAATGTTGACCCCGGATTAATAAACCCCTGTTTATTAATGGGAATCATCACTTTGGGAGGGGAACACCCCCATATTAATAGACAGGGGTTTATTAATCCGGGGTCAAGATTACTCATTTCCTTTGTTGAGTTCCAACTCTCACCGGACTGTGGTTTAGGATCCAGGGCGTCAAGGACCACAGTAGCGCGACCTAGAGACCTGAAAGTTCCGAGATGTGCTAAACATCAATGCTGCCACATGTGTCCGATCCAAACAGGGGCTCCCTCATTTTCGTGGTTCGAGAGGGGGCGGGGCTCAATGATATCAATAATTCGCAGGGCAGCAAGGATGTTCCTACTGTGGATGGACACAATCCCTTTCGAACCAGTTCCTTGGGGTTTAAACTAACTACACTAAAACATTTTCCTAAGGTTTGTCATCCAACTTGGGCCCTGGCCATTCTTTTAGTGGGGGCCAGGAACCCCAGGTAGCTGGTAGATGGTGTCCATCTCAGGGTTTTGTTGATCCCAAGTCTGGCTGTGTATTTTGATAGAGTCGAAGCTCAGGTTGCACAGGAGGACTGAGACGTTCTGATCTTAGGATCTCAGTATGTTAGCCCTTATGGCTCAAGTGGGCATTTATTCCTGACATGGCTCAGGGGTCCTGTTCTGTACGGATTTAACACATATATGGGTGTTTTGCTTAAGGAGACCCCCACAATTTTCGCAAAACATGTGGTGTTCCTTTTGGGTGCCCTTCAAAGCCACAAAAGACACCGATATGTTTTTTTTTTTTCTCCGAACTGGACAAAGCTTATGCTATGCAGTCTTTGGGATGGCTCTTTCACAGCTTACTCAGACGTCAGTTGTATCCAATTGAAGTGCAGCACCCCAACACACCGTGAGCACCAGAAGGAGCCGAACGCCCCTGAAAGCAGGTAGGAAACGGTCTGACAGGGCAAAGCGAACTCCGGCCTCTTTCTTATCCAAAGGTTTGCCACACAATTACTGGTGATCCACTGATTCTCTCAGACGTAAGCTTGGCTTGACCACGCTCAGGCAAGCTCCTCCCCGAGTGCACATGGTGCCCCCGGCATTGGCGGGGTCTTGCCTCGAGTTGCGTTGGGTGAAGTCGGGCCCCAAATTTATGCAGCAAGCGGAAGCCAAGACTCTGAGACTTGAATCACACAATCACAGCGCACACACAAAGAAACTTTCAGCATTCTGCTGGTTTGAGAATTTCAAGGGCACACACAAAGAAATGTTTAGCATTCTGCTGGTTTGATGAGATTGCAGCTCCAAGCTCGCATCCCCATGAAGAAATTGACGCGGGAGAGCAATGTCGTCGGCACAAATAGCAAAAGAAAACCACCTTGGGGTAAAACCAGCTTGCCCATGATGAAGGTCCCTTTCTTGAATTCCTGATCTTCGGTCTTTGAATCCCACTTGTCAGCTCTGGGCACTTTTACAGTTCTGCCTTGTCTCAACATGGGAGCACCCCCAAAGTGATTGCCCAAAAAGGGTAGCCTCGAGGCAAAGTATAACGAGCTCATCTAGGTAAAACGAGGATACCCTGGCATGTGAATGATATACGTATTAGTATAGTATATAGTAGTTCGATGTAATTGAACAGATGCCCAGACAGCATCTTCAGCTGAATTTGTTTGAGGGCTAGCAAGATCCTTGAAGCATCATCCGTACTTTCTGGACCTGGGAGGTACACCTAGAATTGGGCACCCTCGGGAAGGAACGAATTGATAAAGTCACAGGGCTCTCTGCTGACGCTGTGACCAGGATTTGGCTCATAATCGGCGCATCCTCGCTCTCAATTAAAATATTTTTGTTTGGTTTAGCCAAGTGACTCAGCCAGCAAGAGGCGAACGCGTGTTGCTGTGGACTCTGGCGTGTTGCAAGATGGACGGGGATGTCGAGGAGCAATTTGTCTTGATGTTTCCAGCAGTCTCCCTCTCATGCTGAGGATCCCGCCATAATTTCGATATAGTTGCCACGCTTGTGTGCCATTGCTGCATGTTCCGTCGCAGTTCCGTCGCCCTTTTGCCGCACGCCGCAGTTTTTTTTTATCGTCGAGTTCCAGCCGCAATCTTACAGACAGATAGTTCTGGCCGCTCCCTCAGTGTGGCAAGTTGTCGGCAGAAGTCGTGAGTCGTGACCCCAGTTTGGTGCTGCAGGCTCACTTTAGGATATCCCGGGTTTTGCGGGTCCACACTAAAGATGCATAAACTCCTGCACCAGTTGGAGAAAAAGAACAAGCACTATGAGACTATGTGTCCTGGGGTAAAGCACCTACCGATTGGTGCTTGGCCTGGATTTTGTTTATCCATAGTTGTTTTTGCTGTGGAGCGGAGGTTTCAGACTTCTGCGGGATTCAGCTAGCGAATGAGGTCATTAGCAATGGCACCTCCTCCATCGCACCAGACCAAGGCCAGGGAAGGCATGTGGCACATGTCCGTTTAAGGCGAAGCTTCTCTATAGGAACGGGATTTGTTTCCAGGTTTGGCGACTAGTGGGTTTTTTTGCACGGTTCATGAGATGTTTTTGGTTGTTGCTTGACGACGATACTGAGAAAGGCGGTATTTCGTGGCAAATGGCTTCACGTATTGTTCTCCAACGGGTTCCGTGAAAAGAACGCTTGTAGTTGGACGGCCATTTGCTTTAGGACAATCCATTGGATTTGCCTGCCTTATGCATTCGATTGCCTGAAACATCTCTCAGGCGGCCTGCGACAGCATTATCTTCGTGGATGTGGACGGAGTTCTTAACGTGACTTGCCCGGGATCCGCGGGAGTGGAGAGTGTTCTTGTTTTTGTTGTTTGGTTTTTGCCGTTCTTTGTTGTGTGCCCTACATATCTATCCATGGCCACCGGTCTAGGTGCTGTTCTAAGAAGAAGCTACTTCACTGGGAAAAAAACACGGATGTTGTCATTGGCCCAGAATGACCTGGCAAGGAATCAATGGCTGCCAACTCGAATCACTCGAGTCCACCCATGAGAACTTGCCCACTCCAACTGGGCCCAATTGGATGACCAGTCTTCCTCTTCCGCCATGGTTGACGCACAACTTTACATGGGTAAAGTTTGGCCTCAATCCTGAGTTCCTGGACTTGTTTTTTTGGGGGAAGACCGTTTTAGTGGTAAACAAGTTCAGACTTGGCCAGACTCGGGAAGTGAGTGGTGGCCAGCCAAATTGCCTTTCCCGGGGCGAGACGCGACAGACGCGACCCCCGAGGTCGGCATCCATGACGAGGGTAAGGCGCCTTTGCTGCTCCGCGATGAGTCTTGGTTGCTGAGAGGTCGAGTCAACCGCTACGGTTGCTTCACATAAGGCGTGGGTCTGAAGGGGGCAGGACATGGCAGGACATGGCAGGACCTTGCGCCCTTGTTTACGCAAGAGCTGGACGCTAGACTCCCCTACTGATGTGATTTCTTGCTTGGGTTATTGTTTGCCCGCAAAGCTTCAGTGTTGCTGCCCGCAAGACTTTGGGCATAAAGTAATAGATGGAATTGTCCAACTCAGCGTTTTTGTGATTGTTCGTTCATGGGGATTTCCTTTTGGGGGAGCAACCCCGTAATACGAGAAATAATAGCAGTAGCGGTTGCCACATTCAGTCCTGTTGAAGGTTCTCGGAGCAAGGGATATTTTTTTAGATAAGCCGATAGATTTTGCGTTCAGTCAGGCCTTGCCCGGCGCTTATTGATCTAGAAGCGAAGCCCGGTGCCTCATTCTCTAGCCATGAACATCAGGAAAAGCAACCTGAGCGATAGTGCCATGGAATCCACGCGTCGCTTGAGGAAGACGTCCAGACTGCTATCAAGCTTGCCAAGCGGGGCTACAAAGGGCCAGAGGACCGATCTGAAACAAGTTGCGGAGTCTTTCCGAGGGTCGATCAAGAATGTATCAAGTTGGGAGCCCGTATCGCCCATAAATTTGGACTCAAGATGGAGTGCCCCGCACAGTCCTACTTTGCGCGGGGCACTTGCCTGAACCAGATTGGTTTTGCTACAACTTCGGTTCCAACCTCTCACAATCGAATGGCTTCGGAAAGCACGAGTTGCATGCCGTTGCCGCTAACAGACATGCCTAAAGGATCATTCATCCGAAGGGTCGCCTCACAGCTGCACTCAAACAACTTGTGGAGATGCAGTTTGCACTTCTGTTGACCAAATGTGAAGCAGACAATGTGGCAGAGCTTGACTCCAAGCATGGTAAACATCGCAAGTTCGAGTGGCTTACAACCATATCATACAACCTTGTCCTGCAACTGAAAAGGCTTGTACCCCACCCATGCCGATGGGAAAGGCTGGTTCCAACGGGAGGCATGTTGGTTCAAAGGATAGCACTGGCTTGCTTTCAGGGACGAGCACAGAAGGGATTTTGTGTTTCGATGTTCAACGAGGTAGCCAGCAAATGCAAGGTTTCCACGTGCCAGGCAAAAGTAATTTTGAGAATCTTTCCACCCAAGAGGACATTCAGTTGAATCCCCAAAAACGGTTCAGTTCAAGGTTTCCATAGTGAAACCATACAGGGCATGCCCCCGCGTCCACGCGGTCCACGCGTTGGGCCTACATACACAGGTGGCCCCTTGTCTGTGGTCTCATGAAGCCCAATCCTGACCGGTTCTAAGTACCAACCCCCAGTTTCACAGCTCCTTTTTGAGCGTTCCTGGACCCGCAAAATTGCCTCAGAATTCTGGGGTGAATTCCCTTTGTGACGGGTAGTTTGAGGGCACGGCTACCTTTTTTTGGGTGGGCAATCACATGGAAACCCATGGAGTTCCATGACGGAAGCTTTCCAGGCCACCTGCGTGGAGAAGCTTTCAGCCCTGGCCACACACCAGGCCGGGTTTGGTTCCTGATGGGCGAGGGGTCAAATCAGACGTTACCTGGGGGCCATGGGTTGCTCCAAGCCTCACCAAACTAAGGAAGAACATGGCTATCAGGGTCTTCGAAATTCTGATGGTATGAAACAAATGGTACATGTCATAGTTTGATCACGTGCGCACTTGGCTCTACGATCGTGTACCTCGTACGGCCAGGTCGGATTCAACGAGAACGACACTTACGATTCCCGGCTCTATAGCAGATATCCTCGGGCGCGGGAAGTCGTACACATGATTAGTCGCAACCTCCATGGTTGGTCGCTTTCCTTTTTGGGTCCCTGCCCGATTTCAGGGTGAGCTACCATAATTCACCAAGCGTTTTGGGGGACCCCTGGAGAACAGCAGTATAAACCTAGCATCCCAGTTTGTTACCCTGAGTTCGGGATTCCAAGTACAGGATTGCTTTAGTACCTAGCCCAGCGCTTCGGCAACAGTAGGTGGGGGGTTCTTGCCTCCAAGTTTTACCATATTTCCTGGTTGTTTTTGTTTATCGCTTGCCTGGAAGCACTGGGATCTGGTTCATTTGGAGAGGGCATGGGAACTCTCCAATCGCCCCTGGTTTTTTTCCCACAAAGGACGGACAGGTACCTGTATTCCTCGGCGATTGTTTTCTTCTGGTTTGCCTTCTACGGCTTGCCTAGAAGCACAGGTACCCTCCCACCAGCGATTCCATGGAACTCTAGAACGACGACTTTCCTCTTGGTTAGTTGGCCTTTTTGCACTTCCGTGTTAGTTGGTGGGAGGGTACTTGGTCTTAGCACCTTGGTTCTTGGGTCCCCAATTGGCCCAAGCTGCATCACCGGAATTGCGAGAGCCAGCTCGCTCGCGCGCTCTTAGGAGAAGCTGATGACCCGTGGCGGAGCGGAGGCGGACTCATCGGCAAACCCCCCACAGACAAATATATATATATATATATATATACATATATAAATTCAATTATTATAATAATAATGATGATAATAATAATAATAATAATAATAATAATAATAATAATAACAATAATAATAATATAATAAATAATAGTAATAATAATAATTAGTAATAATAATAATAATAATAATAATAATAAAAACGGTTGGCAATGTTCCAGCTTCTTTTCAGTGCCCTCGACCCATTTTGTGGGTGCTATGATCCGTTTTGGAAATAAGGGCACGTCCTAAATCAACGAGGTCACTTAAGCCACTTAA